TATATACCAATTGTATTCAAAACCAACATCATAGAGTGGCCACGTCTGCTAAGGCTCCAATCTCAACAAGTTCTAGGCAATTGGATAGTTTCATTAAGAACCACGGCCTAAAAGTATGACAGTTTACTCGACTTGCAAGTTTCACCAAAGATGGTTTTACTACCTTTGCTGTGAAGAGAATGCACCAAATCTTATTGTGTCAAAAGTAGAAATACAACCACTACGTTTAGTTCACCTTAGACTATGAAAATACTGTAGTGTAAAGTGGAGGTTTTTAGAAGGTTTTATACTGTTGTATTTACGTTTAAAGGAGCAGAAAAATGAGAACACATACAGATAATGAGAAAAAAGGCGCAAGAAAGCGTATTGCTTCTACACTGCGGAAATGCAAACCAACATAGTTTTAAAAGATTTGACCGAGGAACAAAACTATAGCCGACGTGATATGCGGGGTATAGCAGTAAAAAAGACTCAGGAGCTGGCTTGGACACAGATAGAGTGCGCTTATTTTAGTGACCTTCTCAAGCAACTCTAATGCTTAATGATTTCAGATTACTTGTTACGAAGAAACACGATCTCCACTAACTTTTGAACACCTCTTGCTTTAAAAGACCCAAAAAGTTGGTAAGCGACTTAGTAGGTCACAAAAAAGGAGGTGCGCGGCACAGCGAAATGTGTCATTACTATGGACAATTCATCACGCTTACGAAGTAAAGAGTTTTTAGAAGTAAAGAAAAGTCACAAGGATCTGAGTTCATTACCTGTTATACGGAACAGTTTAAACCAACAACCATAACATTCTTATCAAAGACCTTCCACTTCAAAAGACACATCCTACTAGCACCGGCTGCTTGCATGGCAATTTCAAGTCCAATATTTGAAAAAAGCACTTCAAAACCCTTCGGAAGAACGGTACCAGCTTCCTAGCAGAACAGTGTTCAATCAAAGTAAAGACTAGCAGTCCAACTGGTACTTGTGGTCGTACATCCAGGTAACATTCTTGGTGCTTTTGGCTCTACAGACGCTACAGTTAAAGTCCCATATCTACTTAGGTGCAGCCCAACAAAAGTTTCGGCAGGGTAAAGGAACAGGTCTTTTAGAGCTACTAACGCCCTTGAAAAACTGAGATGTCTTCATAGTGTATCTCGTTCAAGGCTCCTCAAACTTACCAAGAGGAATCTACTTGAAGAGTACTATCCGGTTTATGTTTCAATTTCAGAAGGAATGGTATGATTTGAAAACTGTGATTGTATAAGTGTACGGTCACCTTGCTTAGTTTTTGAAAAAAGGAACTACAAATGTGACCCTTCTACCGAACTCAGGATAACAGAAGCATACGATTTCAGGAGAAGAAGAGATATGGCAATTGATATGTTACTCAAACGAGTAGGCAACCGCCAGCAATATTATAGCGAAAGACATTTCAGATCATAAAATGGCTTGTCTAGCCGGCATTTTTACCAAGGGAACCTGTACCATTGCTGTCTGGAAAGCCTAGCAGATACTTTATTCCTTTAATGAATTGATGGCCATTCTAAATTGAGTCACAAATGTACGTGTGGCAATGGTATAAATTTTAATGGCCTTCTGGCACTCAAACTTCTAAAACTTAAACATAGTCAAAATTTATTTGATGAAACCAATGTGGGACATTGTCATCAATCCGCTTTATCAAGTCAGAAGAGTATGGGTGCTCCTTCTCCTTTTTTAAGAAGAGAAACTGACTATCTGGACGGTAACTAGAAAGAGATCAACTGAAGCTCTTCATATTCACATCGAAGCGTAGGTACAATCGAAGGACAGCGAAAGCCACTACCCGTATTTGAAACAACCTAGCAAACGATATGAATGATATTAAGCGTCCTCATAGATCTGTCAACCGAGCTATATACTTTTTTTATTTCTTTTTCAGTGTAGCGGAGCTGCAGACCATTAACTTATTTTTTTAGACATTTGGGATGTTATCATTCTTCAACGGTATCAAGCGTATATGCCAAGTTTTTTAAATACAGAAAAAAAACGACCAAGCGGCAGATGCATCTTCACGCAGATCACCAATTGCACGTCCGCAACACTGACGTTTTTGAAGATAAGCCTTCCTAGCCTAACTGTGCGTCCTTAACCGAAATTTTGAGTTGTCTGAATACCACTCCTTTTTTCCTTTTGTAGTTGTGCTTCGTTTTTTGTAACTTTATTGTTTATTACTTGTTTTATTATGCTTATTGCTTTCAAAAAGTGCTCTCCCTAAATGCTCCTCTTACTTTCCTTATGCAAATATTGTTTTTGTATTTTTGTTTCTGCCTCGTTAGTGTCGTTTACCTACTCAACTGTAAGGTACGCATAAAGATCATTGGTGTCGGGGGCCATTCTACCGCTATAAATACTTAACCACCTCTGTACAGCAATGAAATCATTCCCGAACAACAGTCTAGCCACCTTTGGTACTTAAAGCAATTATTTTTTGAACACCTCTTAATGTAGATGCCCGACAGGTGATAAACCATCGTTAAGACTCCTAGGGAGGTTGTGAAGTGGTAATTAAATTGTGCTAAGATTTAGCTAACTGAGAGCTGTAAATCTTTCAGATTGCAGAGTAGGCGGAGTGGTACCCTAAAAATATCCTATAACTTCTTTACAGGGCCTTGTCGGAAACTGAATGTCGATAAGCGCAAAGTAGCATCTATATTGTCAAAAAGTAGCAATTCTGTGGTCTAGAAATTTTCAGCTTGCTCTGCCTGTTGTTTTCAAGACATCGACTTCAATTACAAAGCATCTGATACAAACTACTTTTAATTATAATTGGAGGCAGGCAAACAAATCCGAAATTTGTTTTGTAGCTCTCCACTTTTGGTCTTTTAAAATTCGATAAGTAATAGCAGTTAGACTCCAGTTCACTTGTTTTGTAAGAAATTCTTATTGTAAAAGTCAGCAACAGCAAAAAGAAAAAGCTTAGATCATCAGGATGTATTACTCTTTAAAACTCTTTGTAATGTAAGTCAAGTTTTATGTACCGCCGTTTTTTTAGTTTTTTTCAACAATTTTAATAAAATCGTAAATCTTACAACGTGTTCAAATAAAGATTCACTTTCCTGAACTTCTTAACACATTTCTGCTTCCTGTTTTGAATTGATTTTTCTGAAATATTCCTGTCATTAAGATGCCAAATTTTTTCTGTATTGCTGAAAAAAAAGGCAAGTGATTATTAAAGACGGTTCTCAAAGGTCAAATTCGCTTCTGTTTTTTTATTGAAGAAATTTATACAAAATTTGTTCTTCAGTCTGTTCATAGAGGTATCATTTTTGATAAAGCTGGGAGATTTACTGAAAAATGTAGCTACATGATTTTCACTTTTCCGCATTGATGTTCTGTCGCTTTTAAAATTAGATGACTTTTACTGCTTAAAACTGACCATCGCTTTTTCGGTGAACACTAATAAAACTTTGAAAGTTGGGGTAATAAACGTGATACGGAAATATGGGTCAGTGAGTACATGCTGATTAAGAAGTCAAAAATTTC